GTGTGTGTGTGTGTGTGTGTGTGTGTGTGTGTGTGTAGAGCCTCAATTACTCTAGACCATGTATCATCCTTCAACTCAATCAAACAGCTGATGGTACAGATGTAATAAACTAAGGGGCATTAATAAAAATTCTTCATTGTGTCCAGCTTCATCTCTGTTGCTAGGCAACAACAATACTGACGGGATAGGCTTGTGAAGCCAATCATGGAAAGCCTCTGTAGACCAGACAGTCTCATTTCAGTTTGGTCTACCCAGCCCACGAAGACCTCCTCCTTCGTGGGCTGGGTAGACTAGGTCTTCTGAAAGATGCAGCCCCTGAATTGAGATGCAGCTTATGTCATTTGCCACTTTAGAAGATCATAGTTCATTAGTGCTTTGCTTCCAATGTTGTCGTTGTGCAGGAATTTGAACAAACCCATCGCAGTCCAGTCAAAAGAAAAAGAGGATCGTTACGTGGACAACTACAAGGTAAGGCCCTGCATTCACTTTGAGCATGTGTAGTTTATGTTTCACTATAAGAACCCACACTGACACATGTACTTGTTCTACAGTACTTGGAGGAGGAGTACAAGAAGGGTATACGTGAGGATGACCCCATGCCTCCTGTTCAGCCGTACCACTATGGCTCTCACTACTCCAACAGCGGCACTGTGCTGCACTTCCTGGTCCGAATGCCACCATTTACCAAGATGTTCCTGGCGTACCAGGGTGAGTCACACGTTAATGTTCGCTACAAGTCATAGAAGAAAATCTTCAGCTAAATTTGGCAAGAACGTCTGGATTCTGCAGCTGTATTGATTTTATTTTCAATAAGCAGTGTAAGTGTTAACTGACTGACAGTGTGTAACAGGAGATATTTATCATACAGTTCCATGAAGCTTTTACCTGTCTACATTAAAATGACATCTCCATCTTAGTGGACGCTCAGGCTTTTAGTGCTGAGATGCTGGAACCGAGCATCATGTAGCCGCAACAGCCATTAAAGATTACTTCACCTCTGTACTTTCCTCTGTTCTCCTTCTCTTTTTTATTCCTTCCGTATGTGTTAATTCTTTTTTCCATTCAATCGCCTCTGTGCTCTGATCTCCGAGGCATCTTTTTGTGTGATTGTAAATGTATTCAGCAGACGAGGCGTCTATGGTCATGAAAGGGGATCTTTTCAATCAGAGAGTTGAATCTGTAATTAGATTGTCTTTGGCTGTACTCAGACCAGAGCTTTGATATCCCGGACCGAACGTTTCACTCCATGAACACCACGTGGCGACTGTCTTCCTACGAGTCCATGACTGATGTCAAAGAGCTCATCCCAGAGTTTTTCTACCTCCCAGAATTCCTTGTCAACAGAGAGGGTAATTATTCTTCTGCTATACCTTTGATCCTAATTACTTCTTTTTTTATCCCTTTATACATTTTTCATTGCTGCTAATGATTGTTAAAACATTTTTGCCTGCACAGGTTTTGATTTTGGGGTACGTCAGAACGGAGAGAGGGTGAATCACGTGAATTTGCCACCCTGGGCTCGCAACGATCCGCGTCTGTTCATCCTGATCCACCGACAGGCGCTAGAGTCCGACCAGGTCTCCCAGATGCTGTGCCAGTGGATCGACTTGGTGTTCGGGCTCAAGCAGAAAGGCAAAGCTGCTGTCCAGGCCATCAATGTCTTCCACCCTGCTGTAAGAAGCTGATAATCACTGTGTTCACTTTGAATTATTAGGAAAATATCGTTGTTGCTTACAGTTTCACATCACTTTTCACAGACATATTTTGGCATGGACGTGTCGGCTGTAGAAGACCCAGTGCAGCGTCGGGCCCTGGAGACGATGATCAAGACGTATGGACAGACACCCAGACAGCTCTTCAACGGCTCTCATGTCAGCAGGGCCAGCTCCAAACTCATAATGGATGGGGAGCTGCCAGCTGCCATGGGACTCCTGGTTCAGCTGGCCTTCAGAGAAACCAGAGAACAGGCCAAGGAAATAGTGTGCCCGGTAATCTACTGTAGTGGTAGTGATTCTAGCAGCCTGCTGTGCACTGAGCAAGATGTTATTCAATTCGTCATCTATGAAATGATCTGCTGCTCACCTGGCGTTTCCTCCTCCCACCCCCACAGAGCCCACTGCCGTGGATCAAAGGTCTGAAGTGGGGTGAGTACGTGGGCTCGCCCTCAGCTCCAGACCCAGTGGTGTGCTTCAGTCAGCCACACGGGGAGAGGTTCGGATCCCTGCTGGCGCTGCCAACGCGAGCTATCTGCGGGCTCTCTTGCAAGTTCTGCCTCATGATGATTTACAGCAAAGAGCAAGGTAGGAAGCCCACCACTCAGCCACGAGACAGAATGGATTTAGAGGACGTCCCACTCACTCTGTCTATTCTGCGCCCTTTCCTCTGCAGGTGTTCGGAGCATGCACAGCACAGACATCCAGTGGTCGGCCATCTTGAGTTGGGGCTACTCCGACAATATATTGAGACTGAAGAGCAAACAGAGTGAACCACCTATCAACTTTATACAGTGTTCACAACTTCACCAGGTAAGAAGCTCAGAGAACATCAAGAGAAAGAAAACATACAAATCTACACTGAGGATAAACCATAGAATGTTTAGATGTTGATAAAGATAGACGACATGACTGCTCCCCGGCCGAGTAAGGCCAAAAAGTCGGCACCTGTTGGCTGGCTACACTATAGGTCATAAACCCCACCTCTTTGAAACTTTAGTTTCAATATAATTTTGAAAATATATATGAATATCATGACGTACAGACACTCCAAACAGTTGACTTTACATCATTTGTCCTGAAAGGTCTAAGACGGTTTGAGCCATGATCAAGTGTAGATATAATTTAGTTCACAGCTCAGAAAACACATTTAAGTGTGCAACATATATTAAATTGGTTATTTGATGACATGATTGACAGCTGAGAATGACTCATGATTGGTCAAGCACCTGTATTGGTGAGACCTTGTGACCAAATTTGCAATATAATGGCATTAGTAGCTGGGACATTCCTGCTTCATTTATAGAAAGTGGAGATGCATAGACCATCTTTACAGTCGATGGGATTAACCAATAAGCTTTCAGGTCTCTCATTCCTTACCATGTCTCTCTCTCTCTCTCTCTCTCTCCAGGTGACCAGCTGTGCCTGGGTGCCCGATGGCTGCCAGCTATTTACAGGTAGCAAGTGTGGAGTCATCACCGCCTACAGCAACCGCTTCACCAGCACCACGGTAGGTTTCCATGGTGATGTCTCCCTCTAACCTTCCGCCAACACATCGA